TAATGTAAAATATTTCACAAAATGTTTATAAAACCTGAAACATATCAAGAGTTAATAATGTATTAATTTCTGGCCAATTCCTCTTAGAATCAATTCAAATAAATTGAAATCAATAAAATTTCTGTTTCTAATCAAACTCTGTTTTTTACATTTCTTTTCTTTAGGAAATGAAGCATAACACCAACTTGTACCAATGGAGGCATTTATGTAATTTAAAAATATGAAAATATCCAAAATTGTTATTTCTTTGAACTAATATCACTACTACATATAAAATGTTTTAAGATGAATAGAAGCCCTAACAACAGCAAAGTAAACTTCCAAATCCTCTGTGAGTTTGAATAAAGATCAACATGGTAAATGAGGATAATACAGCTAAACTCAATTTCTCTCTGTCTCTCTCTCTATCTCTCTCTCTGTCTCTCTCTCTGTCTCTCTCTCTGTCTCTGTCTCTGTCTCTCTCTCTCTCTCTCTCTCTCTCTCTCTCTCTCTCTCTTCTCTCTCTCTCTCTCTGTGTGTGTATGTGTCTTTCTCTCTCTCTCTCTCTTTATTCGAGGGGTTCTCTCTCTCTCTCTCTCTCTCTCTGTCTCTCTCTCTCTGTCTGTGTCTCTCTCTCTCTCTCTCTCTCTCTCTCTCTCTCTCTCTCTCTCTCCTCTCTTCCTCTCTCTGTGTGTGTATGTGTCCTTTTCCCTCTATCTAACTTAATTCGGGTGGAGTCTTTCAACCATCACATTTTAATAGTTTCATTTTTGACTAAGAGACAAGTAGGTAAATTCACTTAGCCCTTCAAAATTGCTTTTTCCCCCCATAGAATACAACCTGGAAAAATCCTCAGTTGCACAGTGCAAAAGTTACATCTTGTGAATTTTCTATTCTATGAATTCGCTATCATTCATGAATCTATACCTAGATGTGTACATACTTGCACATTTGCATTCACTCATGTACATGTATGTATCTGAAATAATCAGTGAAGCCCATGGCCTTGAGATACCGAAGATGGAAACATTCAGATGTTAGAGAACAAGCGCTTATACTGCATTCCTGAATTTTCAATGAAGGATGTGTGTGTGAGTGCACGCGTTTGCATATACACTTGGAGGCCAAAGGTTGACTTTGGGCATCTTCCACCAATACACTCATCCTGTACACTTGGGCAGAATCTCTCACTGAACCCGAGCTTGCTATCTCTTAGAATAGTCTGTCTGGCCAGCATCCTCCAGGCATTTCTCTGCCTCCCTTGCACTGGGATTACAGGCAGGCTGCTACTCAATCAGTTTCTAACCTGAATACAGGGGATCCAAACTCTGATCTTCATGCTTTCATAGCAAAAGCATTGTCCACTGAGAGATCTTCCTAGCCTTTATCAACATTTAAAAATGTGCAATAATGTTTATTTCAACAGAGTATATCCAGAATAAGAATTGTGCATTCATAGGAAAGCAATACTGTTTTCATTATGTTAAAATGCATGCAAGTATTTAATGAAATAAATAAATAAATACATGTTTTAATTGTATTTATGTTTCATAAAAGAAGAATTGCAATAAAGACTCTGCTCCTTACATTCTTGTTTGTTCCTGAAACTTCACAAGGAACATATTTTGTTTTTACAATAACAGCGTGAATACATACTATAAAAACATATAAGAGACCAGAATTAATAAGTTTTATGGAGAAACAGTGGAAGCAGCAATTTGAAGAGTAATGGTGGGGGGATGGCTTCGCAAGATAAGTAAATGGGTAGGGGTGCTTGCATCCAAGCCAGGAGACCTTAGTTCAATTCCAGGTGTGGAAAGTAGAGAACCAGCTCCCACAGGTTGTCCATTGATTTCCACACATGTGCTACAGCACGTGTGGGCACAAACACATACACACATACACATATAAATAAATAAATCTAATAAAAAAGAGCAATTCAGGTTCTATCTGTGCATACAATAACTGAAACAAATATCCAATGTGTTTCTATGTTAATGATTTACATGGTAAGGCATTTTGTGCAGAAAAGTAAATGCTTTATTGCATTATTCCCCACCAAGTCAAATTGCTTCAAATTGTGGAAACTTGTTGAGAAGACAAATATACTTTATCATAAAATAGTAATTACATTTAACATAGCATTACCCAAATGTGCCAATAAATACAAAAACTTTTGAGACACTAACATCAGTAGTCAAAGATAAAATACAAGAGATATTTTACTTTGATAGAGAATAAAATTAGAGTATGATTATAATCTTCAAATTAATATAAAATTGTTGAAGATCTTTAGTATAACCTCTTGGATTGATTGCTTTTAAGCTGCCATATTTCAGTTAAAAAAATAAAGAACCCTCTATATTCTCTGAACTAGGAAAAGATACATATTGATGTCCTGAAAGTAGCTGTTGGTCACTAGAAGAGGCAGGATTGTTGGGACTCTCAGATACTTCATATTTATTCACGCATTTCTACTCATACTGGGGCATACTTCTTAAAATTCTTTCCAATGGGAATAATTCATAAAATATGATTTTAATATTAGAAATATATTGTTATGGTTAACTCACACTCATATTTCAAGGGTCAGGAAACATTTTTTTTAATACAGGGGATAGTTTTTCTGAGATTTAGTGAACTTTTCTGTGATTAACAGTGGTCAGGAAGATAGGAAGAAGAGGTGGTAGGGTAATGATGGAGCAAAGTCTCTGTTGCTCTCCATGCCTACAGATCTTTTCAGCCATTCTGAGTCACTGTAACCATCATAGTAGTTGTAAACTGGGGACACAACATTTTGTGAAAGGAGGTATTGAGTCTAGCCTAGCTCATAAGGGCTTAAGATTCCTGGAGCCAGAGAAGGGGGGATTTGGGAGTGCAGCATCCTTATGGATCACTAAGTTCTGAATTACCAGACCTCAAAGAACAGTGAATTGAGCCTTCCTTGCACAATGATACCTGCGGGTACTGCAGGGTACAAGCAAGTCCACATTTCCAGATAAAAATGAAAAAGATACACAATCAAAGTAGCTTATTTCTTATTAAATTTAATGAATAAATGGAAACAAAGTGTATGGGGAGAAAAATGGGGAAAAGGTCAGTCATCTAAAGAACAAATTTGAAAGGAAGTTCACATACTTACTTCCTGCAGCATGGCTCCTAACCACACGAAAACCAACTAACTTTTGCTCCTCGTGAAGTGTTTTGGCTTCTCATCACCTGCCCTCTTCCATCCAGTCAGCTCTCTGCCATCATTAACATGCATGGCTCCCTGTGTCACTGTTGGAAGTCCCTTTCTGCTTCAGCCAGATGAATGTTTTGAACAAGGAAATTTCTATATAAAATTGTACCTTAAGAATCACTTATTCTATGTAAAATAAGAATCCAAAAGAAAGGCATAAGATAGAAATTACAAAGACAGAGATTTATGATCACTGTCATTGAAACTGCTTTTAATGGGATTGTTTTAAAAAAGCTCTTCCTTGAGGACTAGTGGAGTTTCCATGCCTATAGGTGTCCTATTAAAGGCCTGAAAACTAAGAGTGAATACAAGCACACATTCATTCAAGCAGATACTGATCTCTTTCATTTTATTCTACGCTGTGTTAATATAGGCTTGTGAAGAAGGCTCTGAACACATTATACAAGGTTTCTGTCTTTAGGTATTTACTGACAGGAAAGGAAGCACTGCACATGTGTTCAGGTAAACTGAAACTGAAAAGTATATGCAAAATGGAACCACGGGGTACAGTAGTATTGCTGATCTGGTTCCCCAACCATTTGGCTTAAAAGAAGGATGCTGGGAATAACTGAGGTGCAGAAATACATTTTCTTGAGGAATTGATATTTAGCCAAAACTTAAAGTAAGGGTAGAAATTTCATGGGTGGAATGCAAGGAAAAAGTGCAAAGGAGAAGAAAAGAAACACGTGCAAAGGTTTCCTCCTAGCCTGTGGGAAACAGTGAAGCTGTAGAGATGGGCTGAGATGGGTCACATGGCTGCCACACTCTATGCTTAAAGGAAGCCATGGAAAGGTTTTCAGAGAAGTGTATCCCAATAGCTCATATGGCAACAAATGCTGGACAAGGTAGTGCCTTTCCAGATACCCAGATCTACAAAATAGAGATGCTTTCTCCAATCAGTTACACCAGCAACAGTAAGGACCCTGTGTACATTTTTACAGACCTAACTCCCAGTAAAATAACAAACAAAAAAACACCCTTTTTATTGATCCTCCTATATCATTCCCAAGTTTTTAGATCTGTAGATTCATCTGTCTCATATCTTAAGAGATCCACCCAGGAGAGTTATCTAATTGCCACCGTTGTTAACTAAAGGACTAGAAGAAGAAACTGGACTGCCAATTCCATACCCTGTCTTGCTTCTCAGCGATACTGTCCTGTTATGTATGCATATAAATTGTTAAATTTCTGCAGTGTTTAGTAGATGTCCCATTTTTAAATCCAAGGTCTTGGGACATTTTGTTTTAGATATTTTTAAACTGAATTTTTGTGTACTTCACAAAAGAAAGTCATCTTTATAGCCCTTCTCATTTGGCATCCTTCCATTGGCCCCACTGAAGGTCATACATTCTGTCATTTGTGTTAAGGCCTATCACTTAAAGTTAGTGTCCCCAGATGTCCCCCAGTTCAAGTTCATCCACCAGGATCTAGTCAGCCTATCTAGAGTCCCTCCCTTTAAGATGAGCAGTTCCTCACCCAGCAGTAATCAGGTGCCAGTAATTCTTCATCTAAGGTTGGGCTTGCTGTTTATTTCCACAGTTCTGTGCTGGGTTTTTGTCTTCTTAAGTTTGCATGGGTCTTCTGCATGCTGACACAATTGCTTCTGGTTCATATGAAAAGAGTCCCAGGAGTCTGTAGGGCTATTTCCTTATGGTCAAGCACCTCCTCCCTGGCTCTTACAATCTTTCAGCCCCCTCTTCTGCAATGATCCCTGAGCCCTGGGTGGGCGGATTTTAATATAGGAGTCCTGTCCATGTAACCACACTCTGAAGACTCTTACTCTCTGCATTCTGGTAACTTGTCACCTTTTGTGTTCCTGGACCTCTGTTGCATGAGGGAGCTTTGATGATGAGATTCGAAACATGCATTAGTGTTCTCTTCATCCCTTATTCTATGTTCTGTGAGCCTTAGATGCATCCTAGATGTGCCACTTAGGCTTGAGCAATTCACAGACAATCTCTGGTGTGACCAGTTGTGGAACTCTGTAATTAACTCTGTCTCTTGAAAAAGAAGCTTCTCTGATGGTTGGTAACTGGGATACTACCCTATAGATTTAAGGATCCATATTTTGTACATAGTAAGAAATTACATTTGTCTAGGGATGTGTTTCATATTTTAAAAATAATTCATGACTGTTAAAATGTGATTCTAGTATCTTTC